TTTGTGTGTGTGTGTGTGTGTGTGTGTGTGTGAGTGAGTGTGTGTGTGTGTGTGTGTGTGTGTGTGTGTGTGATAAAAAACAGCGAATCTTCTCATTAAAACTCTGAGAAACACAATCACAGGCAGAGAGATTAGACGCAGATCACAATAATCAAATCTTGCTTCTCCTATTTTCATATCTCGTTTGGGAATGTTGACAAGGTAAAATCATGATTTGATCAGATCAGATCAGATTAAATGATGGAGCTGGCGGTGTAATCCAGCAAAGATTACTGTGGTAAACACCACTGTAATTTACTGCGGTTATTTGCGCGGCGTACAGTCGAGCATCAGTCCTGGGATATCCAATATTAAAGCAGCGCTTTATAATATAATATTCTTATGCTGAAGATGTTACAGCTTTATCCGCTTCTTATTAAACTCACTGAACATGCAGCAGTAAATAATGATGTTTGTCTGAGATTGTGAGACACGCAGAGACACAAACGCTACAGGAACACACAGACAAAAATAAACAGCGACTGCACACTAAAAAACATCACAAACATGTCCAGCTCACATTCCATCACATAAATAACTCATAACACTTTACAATAAGGTTTCATTGGTTAACGTTAATTAACTACATTAGTTAACATGAGCTAAGAATGAACAAAACTTCAGCAGCATTTATTAACCTTAGTTAATCTCAACATTTACTACTACATTTGTAAAATCAAAAATCATCTTTTAACATTAGTTAACATTTAATTAGCTAACATAAAAAAGGTTAATAAATGCTGTAAAAGTTGATGTTATTATCTGATGTTAAAAAGACATCTTACTGTAAAGTGTTACCACATAATTAAAGGATTTAAAGGGGTCATGAACTGAGAAAACAAAGTTTCCTTGATCTTTTGACAGATACGACATCATTGTACTATAAGTACAATAAGTTTCAGAACTCAAAAGTTAGTCTAAAAACAGCTTATATTGAAGCCAATCTGCCAAAACGACAGCGTGTGGAATGTGCAACTTTATGACGTAATAGTGTGGCTAAACCCCACCTCCACAGAAGATGATCAACGCCTGCTTCTATGTCACTGCCTGTTTAGCCCCGCCCACCGATTCTACAGCACCAGCACTGTCTGTTTAGCCCCGCCCACCGATTCTACAGCACTGCCGGTTTAACCCCGCCCACCGATTCAACAACACTGCCTAAAAATCTTGATAACATTATAAGTGGACCTCAGAGAACAGTACAAAATAATAAAAAAGGCAGTTCATGATCCCTTTCTTTTAAAATATACTGTACACAAATTCACTCTCAATCTTATGTAAAATATGCCAAAAACAGCTGCATTAATGTTTCTCGTTTTGTCACATTCAGTAATGAAATACATGGATGATGTAAATGATAGGATATATTTTCAAAACAGCAAAATAAAATAAAATAAAATAAAAAATGGAGTAGTTTGCATTGCTGGATATTACTCTTTGGTCGCTTTAACATTTCTGTCATAAAACAGTTGTCAAATATTAAATGTTTAGCTACTTACATTTCATTTCGCACTCTTTCATTGATTTTATTGACCATGCCAGTCATTTTGACGTTTGACATTGACAGGCAGACCAGCCTAAAAATTTAACTTTTTAACTTTTTGTCATCCATGTAACAAAAAGAGTGGTGTACAATGGAGTACTGCAGCTATTTCCAAATATATACATCAAATATCGTGGGGGCTTGTGGTTATGGCCCTGTTTAAATGAGCTAAAACGTCATGAAAATAATGCAGAAATCTTCATTTACTGACTGCAAATATATAATGTCATATTTTCCTATTGATTTGGGCTGAAATGTGAGCCGGACATGTTCCCATTGGGATGACCTGAGTGACGTGCAGCGTTTACTAATGAGACCCGCTGACTGTTTTTGTGGCGTCGGTTGCGAGCGCAGGGACAGTCAGGGGCCGCGGTGACACAGTCA